TTCTTTTTGACATCGCCATCTGTTTACCCCTGTATTTAGGTCGCGTTTTAGAATCTAAATGACTGTTACTACGCAAATATTATTCATAACTTTCTATTTATTAAATGTCGATTACAGAAACAATAACCCACTAGAAACGGCTAAAGCTAAAACTGTAAATGTCTTTTGGCAAAGTAGGAAAAGTGTGTTGGAACTTGAATAGTATGCTCGTTATTTTAACTTTACCAAAATAGAAAATGTTGTAACCAACTTGAACATTATAACCAATTGTTTATAGTACATTATCGCTTGGATATTATTTTTAAATAAAAACCTTTATTATTAATATCACATAAATATGCAACTTAAAAAGAACCTTATCGGGCTAAAAATAGAGTTGATATTACTTTACCAAATAGTTTAGTGAGGAATGCTAGAAAACATCCGTCGTATCGCTATCTCAGAGGAAACTGGTTGCTCGCCGGCTATCGAAAACACGATTGTTAGTAACTTTTTAATTATTCATTCGCCCCGTGCATTGTGGTCGTTGATAAGCGATTTTTTTTTCTAAAATAGTTTTCTATGATACTGGCCACTGGTACACTTTTTTAATGGCTTTAAATAACACTTTTTTTTAAACGGCTGTCAAGAAATTATTAATAGTGGCAACATTATAATTTTAAGATCTCTATAGATTATTTTTTTTTTTATTTCTTTAAAGAATTTAGAATACAGTAAGAATATAATTAGACTATTTTTATGCAATTCAATTAGAATATGCGATTAGCTCAAATACAAAATGCGATTATAAAATCCTTATACCAAAATCCATTTAAATAAGAAGAATAATACAATATGTATAAAGGCTGTGACCTTCTCAAGCCGTTTCTTGTTTTCGCACAGTGGTCGATGCAAACGCACGTGTTTTCATATTTCACCTTGACCTTGCCAATCGGAAAATTGACGCTAGCAACACCGATCCGCCAACCAAACAACCTGTTGACAATATCATGTACAAAGTCATATATAGTTTGTACAACAAATAGATTTTTAACAAGAAAACATTAACAGCGCAGTGTATATATAATGAAAAATATTTTTTTTGTAGTTTAAGTTTTATTTCCACTAAGGGTATAAAAAAGTTGCACAGCTAGCCAAGTGGAAATAGCCACTAAGTTGTCAGTCCACAACTACTCAAAATCATAGCTTTTATGTTACAGTAAGTTGAATTATAAGCTACAAAAACAGTTAATATATTTTAGTTGATGTTTCGACTACGGCCGTAGTAACAAGTTATTTGTTTGCATATATTGACCTCAACACGAGAGCAGATGAGATGTCTCCATTTTTAAAAAGTAATTTTACAACGTGCCAAGAACATCTAAACTTTTGGCACTCGCAAAAAGGGAAAATATCAAAGGAGATTGCAGTATAAATAAGTGTTTAAAAAAAAAGAATTGTCTTTTAATAGGGCAAGGTGTTCTGTACTTTATGGTCTTCGACCTTGACCCTAAATACCGAAGTGTGCCGAGGCTGTGGCCGGGCACGGGGCATTGGCCCGCGAAAGTGAAAACGGATAGCGGGATCAAGCACTGGCCGCATACAGGTTGGCCACGCTCGGTACTTTCCTGTCTACTTATCGCTTTAAAAAAATTTGGTCGCGAATTGGTGTGACGCATCTACCCTAATTTTTTTGATAATTGTTCGTGCTAACTGGCTTTTCTCTCTATTAACTTTGTGGTTTTACTACTAGGATTTTGGCCGCGTCTTACATCGCAAGGAATTAAAAATAAAAATTAATATTATATTACATTTATATATATTACATTAGGGATAATGTGACTTTCTAATAGCAAAATAAGTTTTAAAATCTGTCTAGTAGTTTTTGAGTCTTCGTTACATACGAAAACACAAATCTTTCCATTTTATAGTATTACTATAGTTATATGCCTATTGTTGGCCGCTGATGTTAAGTGAACCGTTGAGATCAAAATAATTACGAGTTATCCGCCATGTTGAAGTAAAATTGTTAAAGATGGCGACAGAAAGGGGATAAATAATTTCAACATATCAGTCATACAAAAATGCAATTTTATTTACAAATACATCTCTTTTAATCGATAACAATGATGTTGGGACAAAGAAAAATCATAAAGAGCAACATGTCATAACACGTTATCAGTGAGTTTGATATTGCTTGTGCAGTTCAATTTCGTCACGTGATAAGAGCTGATAAGCGCGGGGTCGGTAACACTGCATTGTTTGGGATAAATGCGGAACGCGTCTGCCCGTGACGATTTCAAGGTCACACAACGAGTATACAGAGCAGAACAAACAGTTGAACAACTAAATTAGTGTGTGACGTCATAAACTGACTTCAGTGTCAGTCTTATCACTGTATGATCAACCTGCCCTTGTCCCTGCGCAAGGTCGGCTCCGTGTACTTCTAATACATATATATCTATCAGCAATCAGAATTCACTCCCTTTTCAAGCCTCTTTTACATAATCTATGCTTATTTTCTTCGGACTTCTTTATATTTGTAGCCAAGCTTAATTTTTTCTTGTTTACGTGATCTTTACCTCGCCATGTTACAATACCACCCTAACCTTTTGCTTCTCAAATTCTACACCACTATGTCTGTTATCGTTAGTGAAAAACTACTCGACGGATTTAGAAAGGAGTGGTTTTTAAGAATCCTAGTACATTCATAAGGGTTTTTATTTTTATTGGCAACCATCATCATCATCTCCCCAGCCTTATCCTACTCCTGTAGGGTCTTCGCACCGGATTTTCGTCCTCCAAAGTACTCTATCATCCGACTTCTCAGTCATCGCTCCCTTCTTGATCATGTCACCTTTCGAACAATCCATTTATCTCACTAGGTCTACCTCTACCGATGTGCCCCTCCACATTCATAACTAACGAATGAAAATAGGGCTGACAATAAAGGAATAAAATACATAGTTACAATATTATTGTCGCTCTGTTCAACTGTTTGCGCAACCATAAGCAAATTGTTACGCGGCGTACACACCTCCGATCGGCGACAATGAGATCTCATCGAATTGTAAACATTTAGGCAAAGAACATTTGTTATTACTTTCTGTAAACAACGAAAGCATTGTTAAAGAGTATATACGGCCTTGACTATCTTAATACTTCAACTAGTAAATTATTAATTAATTTTAAAACAAGGAACATGACAAAATATGACTAGTTTTGGAAGCTTTGCCGATGACTGGCTAACGTCACGCGGTACTGACGGTACTGAGCAGACCAGCTCAGGACGCGGTGATAGAGAGGGGATTATCGGCAAAATTTAAAACAATGACTTCAAAACATTAAAGCTGTTTGTCTAGAATAGGTAGTAACTGTAACTAAAAGAGGGGGAGCAATAAATCTGATTACACCACGATGAATTAAAAATCAGATACTGATATCAAGATTACATAATATTAGGTGGCAAAATTGAAAAGGAGATATTAGCACTTGTATGTCATTTTACATTACCTAGTCTCTTCTAAATTACATAACCTAAAACATAAAAGCCATAGACAAAGTAACGTTCGATTAACGATATTGCTGACTGAAAACGTAAAGCATTTGTTTCTATACGTTTTGATACATTTTATCGATTCTATTGGTAACGATAATCGAAATTTACTTTGTCTATGTCTCACTCTTTTTAACTATTTTGTATTCTGAACGTTTTGTTTTCTAAAATAAAATGTAAACTTGAAAGACTATCATTGGGGGATTCACCTGAAATATTAATTATTAGTTTTGATGTTACAGTTATTTCCCGATATTTATTTACTATTGCATCATATATGTAGTGTTAGTGAATAATAAACTGTAAAATTACTATTCATAGTTTTCTTTTTACTTGACTTCGATGACTACGATGTTCGTTTCAATACAAAATTAAACTGTTTTAACAATACTATTACAATAATATAATATAACAATAATAGTATTACTTTCCGACACATTACGTTATCTTACGATAAATCGTAATTTTATACTTCTACATAATAAATGCGAAAGTTAGGATGGATGGTAAAATAGTCTGGAGGAACACGTGGGTTACTTAGTTTTTTTTTTATTCCACGAGGACAATGTCGCTTGCACATTTTTAGGACAAATTAAAATTAAACTAACTTCCAAGTATTAAAAAATAGATTAAAATATCGGTTATATCGATGTTCAATTAACTGGTACATCACTAGCACGTGTCATTATGTTGTAGTTATAGATATGTTATTGTAATATGAGCTTGTCACGATTGTGACGTCATCGATCGATTCTATCCAATTCGATGAGAACTGTATGTTGTAAATATTTACACTTAATTGATTATTTACATTTATTTGATGTGAATTTTTCACATATTTTAAGTTATTAATTAAATGTTTATTGTTTAAATAAAGATACCATAGTTTAGTAGTAAAGGATAATTTGAAATTGGAAATTAGATTTCAAATGTTCGTTTCACTGATCGTTTATTATATTAACTTATGGGATAAAGGGCTATGGTTTTTGCAACTTTACCGAGGGCTTAAATGGAATTGTATTCTTACTTTATCATACTTCATACTTCATATCATACTAATATTATAAATGCGAAAGTTTAGATGGAACGATGGATGTTTGTTAGAGTTTGCAGCCCAAACGTCTGAACGGATCTCGATGAAATTTGGCATAGATGTAGAGGAGAGTCTGGAAGAACACATAGGCTACTTTACTTTTGTTTTTTTATATCAACGCGGACGGAGTCGCGGGCGAAAGCTAGTATTTATATAAATTAGTATGGAACATATACTTTGGGTAATACAATTCACCGCATTGCACCAAGCTTATTAGGTTACAAAATTTGGCGAATAGATTTTACTGTATAGTTTTTAAAGTCTATAAGTTGTAATATTAATTTCTATGAGGACCTTTCTTTGTCGAAATAGTTTATTGAACAAGCTTACTTCGTAGTGATAGTGTGATAAATATGTCTGTCTCTCTCGCAGATAACGCACAATGCACGAGCAGGAGGGCGAAGGGGAGCCGGCGCACCACGCGCGGCGGCCCATGAACGCCTTCCTCATCTTCTGCAAACGGCACCGCAGCGTCGTGCGGGACCGCTACCCAAACCTGGAGAACAGGTACACGACATACTATTGTTCGCTATGTGTAGATTTCTGTCTAAAACTAAGGGTTTCCTTAGCGCTCATTAACAGTTCTCATTGTGCCCAGCTACTTTAACAAATTGTAAAATGACATGTACTCTTCGATCTATAATCGCTGGTTCACATTTTGTTACTTGGGCCTTTATAAACTTTGTGAAAATACGAGAAAGTATTTATTAAGTATAATTTATTATTCCTATTGCAGATCCATAACGAAAATTCTAGGCGAATGGTGGGCTAATTTGGACAAAGAAGAGAAATCTTGCTACACGAGTCTTGCTAAACAGGTAATTAATTTTGCATATGTTTGGAGATTAACTTATATAACACGTCTGTTTAACGTCGACTTTCCGTTTGCAGTATAAAGACGCATTCTTCAGCGCCAACCCTGACTTCAAATGGTACAAGTTGCCCGCGCCCCCACTCCGCACGCTCTCCTCGCGGCCGCGCGACGCCGACAAGACTGCCGAGTCCCCCCCCGACTGCCACGACCACGACCTCGAGAAGACCAATAACAACTCCACTAGAGTAGATCTAAACAAGAAACCTGCCGACGATGCCTTCGACAACGAAGCGAAACCGTTATCGATGTTCACTCCCGGCAAGCTTGCGGATGAAGCCCAGATGGGGGGCCTCAGCAGCCTCCTGGCCACTAAGACTGAAATACAAACCCCCAACCCCTATTACTCACCCCCCTCGTTTAAGTTTAGCGCGATCTCAGCACCAATGGAAGACCGATCTCAACACATACTGCAGCGGGTCAATATTAAATGCAATAGAGACGACGAACTGCAAGACGCCCTCTCCGAAACCACGAGGATATTCGAAGAGGACTTCGATGAGAAGGGACGGATATATCGGTACGGCGTTCCCAACGATCAATTCACCAACCAGGATGTCATCAATCAAATCGTCGATAAGAGGTACTCCACCGAGGAGGGGTATCAAAGGAACTGGTCGGACGACGAAAAATCCAAATCCGGTAGGACTTGCAAAGGCAAGCGATACCAGGAATTCATGGCCGTCGGGGGACTGATAGTGAATAAGCGACCGAGACGAGACTTCGCCGACAAAATGCCAGACGAAAGCTACAGCGCGTCCTGCAGTTGGGATCCTGGCAACTCCTACGAGGAATCCTATATCGACGACTTGAAACCGAACTACGTGAACGAGGTCATCATAAAAGACGAAGTTAAACCCGAACCCGCCGACATCGTCGATCCGGACAACAACTCGAGCAAAACATTCAAAGCTGCCGACTTCGATTTGGACGCCAAGATACGAGCACTGCCCTCCCTCAGCTTGGAGAAGTTCCTCCAGAAGAAACGCGAGAACAAACGCAAAAAGAAAACTATCAATTTGAAGCCGAAGGCGCTCGAAACGTCGCAGATTATAAACTCCGTGCCGCGGCCGCCATACGACGAGCGGCGGGAGATGGCGGAGAGATGGCGCGAGCATGTCATCGGCAGTCAGAAACGCAAGCCGCGGAAGATCAGTATCACACGACTGGAGGTAAACAGCATGGTGTCGTGCGACACGACCGGCGCCGCCGAGACCAGCCCCGAGATGAAGCTGGCGACGGAGGCGCCGTGCGGCGTGATGGCGGCCATGGAGGCGTGCGGGCAGGCGCACCACAGCGCTGGCTTACTGGCGCTGGCCACGCTGGCCGAGGTGGCCGCCAACACCTCCAAGATCGAGGAGCCGGCCGCCGCCCCCGCCGCCCCCGCCGCCGCAGACCGCGCTTCCGAGGTATGAAATACCGACACTTAGCCTTAACCGATATTCCAAAAATTATTTACTCGATAATCAGATAATATTTATATATAGATCTACATTTTACATGGTACGCATAAAGAAATAATATTATTGTACACGTTTTAATTGTAGTTTTTATAAATTAGAGATAGACTTTATTTATATAGAGATAGAGAAGATATATGTATACCTGGGTTGAGTTCGTGTAGGCCGCGATGTTCCGCTTTATAGGAATAAAAACTAAGGGTGATAGATATATAAATAAAGAAATATAAATTATCACAAGAATAAAAGAAGCATAATCTATTTTGCATGTAAAAACATTATCAGATTTTAAAAATACGGCGTGATCCGTGTTGGTCAATTATGTATCGGTTGCTGGAACACGCCGTATTTGATTTATATATACATATATATACATAACGATGTTATATTAAAAATAAAATGCCAAAAATAAGTCATTGTAAAATCATAAACCTCATTATGTGTAACTTAGGTTATTGAAATCGCCTTAATACTAGATAATGTCGCAACCGAGACACCACGCGCAGACTGCGTCGCATTTGTAACGTGACTTTTTGTTTTTATTGTAGTGTTGCATGTTTGCAAACATATTGTATAACATTTACTTAAGGCACTTGTACAGATTTGTGTTTTTATCACAATATGTGTTAAAAATTAGTGATAAATATAACAACGTTAATGAATTAACGTACATAAATTGTTACTGATATTATTTGTTTAAGAGAAATAACCTTTTAAAAGGTTCCCTTTCTTTTTCAAATTTCCAAATTATCAGTCCATTTGTGGGTCAAACTTACAATCCTTACCTTGTGATAAATATTTATGCTAGTGAAAAAATTACAATTTTACATAGACGAAATGGCACAAACAAATGATGTTTAAAAACTTTTAATAAAACTGGCAACCCTGTTTGATTATCTATATGTGACATTTCGCTTATGTTTAGATTAACCTCAGGATTTTCCAATCTCTTTTATACAATCTTCACATGAACTATCATCACTCGACTTTGTCAAAAAAAAATCTAAAAACAAAAAAAAAACTAGTTTTTACGTTCGTCCAGTACGTAAAACCTATCCCAATTAGGTACCTGAAAATTATCGAAAAATTTTCATGATTTTTTTTAAAGAAAATCGTTTTTATTTATAAGCTATTTTAATGTTCACCAAGACCGTTCATCAATTAGTTAGTAGTTCGTCCCAGAACAGTGTTTCTCAAATATTTTTTTCTATGTTGTTTATTTTTGTGATGGATTTTTTAAGGGCCTCTGTGATCACTGTTATTTTTCCTATGTTTAAATTATACAGAAGGTGGATGGTGCGATGCTTACGTTGCAGGTCTAGTCTAGAATAGTATTTTAATGAAATATAATCAAGTACTAAATTGGAAGTGCACTTATATTATTTAAATTAACAAACAATGACACAAGCCATAATGTGACATGCTCATCCAAAGACCAAATGTATTTATAGAGAAGCTAGGCAGTAGAATATTAGTATGTACCTAATATATAAGTGATATATAATTAGTATATTATAATGAATATATTTTAATAACCTCTAAACATTATGGCAACATTTTGTCAGATTTCTTTATAGTTTTTTGTGTTGCAATTTATTTATTTTCAAATTTAAAATTATTCGTTTTTATCTTAAATTTTATAAATTGTTACGTTTGAAAATTAAGCTTTTTAAAACTTTCCTATATTGATATATTTGATGAGCTTTTGAAGGTTAATTTCTTTTAAAACTCATGTTTTTTTTTAAATCTGAATAACTTTGATGAGATTTTTCATCACATATTGAGCCTTATCTTATTCGAAACTAGTGTTAAGGTTACAATAAACAAGGGGCCAGTATGTGCAAAAGGATGGGTTAGATTGAAACGTTTTTGATACAAAAAGGGGGCGTATTGCCAAATAATTATGGATATTGATAAGAAAGTGAAGCTGTATAAAGTATTTAAAGGCGATATAAAAATGGTGCTGGAAGATCTGTTTTTTTATAAAAGATAGCCGTCGCACAAGTTTCCTATTTAAGCCACGGATCGTGTGGTAACCGATTTTATTAGTGTTATATGTATATTTTTGTTACTGTACTATTTGTTTTAACGAATCACCTCGTATATTATTGAAAATACAACGGTTGCGATGTTTTAATTTAATCAAGGAAATACAAACAATGTCAAAGTTACAGTGTTTATTTCTCCGTTTTGTTTACGTTAAGGAGATATTTTTTTTAAATATTGTTGCCATTCTTAGTATATAAACAGCCGTGTTAAAAAGTGTTGTTTGCAGTAATTTGTGTCAAAGTTCATTATTGGCTATTCCATCTTTAACTTTGATATTGTTTGTTAGATATAAAATTATGGGACGGTTATTGGTTTGAGAAACACTGGTCTAAGTAAATCGTTAATTAGGGCATAATAAGTCAACACCCAAAGTGTTTTGTTGGCTCCAAAGTGTTTTGTTGAATGTTTTGTTAAAGGCGAGTGTGGTTCAATCTATATCTTTTATTGTAGTAATAAAGTTTATTCATATTAACATTCCTGTTGTTTTCATTTATAAGGGTTTTTAATTACTTGCATCATTACGATTGCAACTAAGAGGTTAATGACCGGTTGTATATTCTTATTATAAATTATATACAATTTGTTCTAGGAAAGTGCGGTTTTGTTTTTAAAAACGGACAGGCGCACCTTTTCCAGTTTTATAGATATTCATGGGCAAAGATGACCACTTATAATCTTATATGATTCTATGTCACAAGATCCTTTTTGAACACTCCCTTTTGTAAAAAAACATTATATCGCAGTTTAAAAATAAACTATACTGGCAACATTTTTTCCATACAAAGATTTGAAAAATTACAATTTACTTGTCAGTGGCTAAATACACTTAAGTGTGAAAGCCAAAAAGGAAGAAAAAAAAAAAAAAAAATTACAATCAATTACAATGTCAATTTGACTTTGACATATAGGTTAAATCAAACCTGCGAATTGTTCGTTACAAATCTTGTTATTGGATTTTAAAAACAAAGGAATTTTATTTTCTGGATAAAGAAAAATCATATTCTTATTATATCAAACGTTAAGTTTATTTGTTTCAAATCTGGATGATAAAACAATGATTGCGGCTTCAGAACCTTTGGTAAGTTATGTTGAAGATTAGTAATTTTAGGAACATTTTTTTATGATTTAACATGTTAAATGCATTGCAATATTTTACACGTATTGTTTGCAGTACGCAATGTATTTAAAACAATTTATGAGATAGACTATTTATCAATCAATTTCAAAATATACAGTACAATAACAAATTTCATTTTACCGGCGTTTCAACTTGGTATTAAAAACATACAGAATTAGCCATTCTTAATGTCATATAATTAACTTTCATGTACTTACATTTGTTTTTTAAAATAAGGTGGCAAATACGATGTTTTCCGCGAGTACAGATTAATCTGTGCTTTTTAATCTATCGATATTATAATATTATATTCTTTAAAGGTAATATTGCCCCTTCCTGTGCGCCACTTCTGTGTAATTTAAAATTAATTACAGTATATTAATTTTTAATCAATGAACTGTAATATATAAAAATATAGAAAATCTTAGTATAAAATTCTTGTAGGAGTTTGTACCTCATGGCAGGACAGTACTTGCAAAGCATCCCGGTCAGATCTATGGCAAAGGTCTTAATAATTCTACATCGGAGAACTCTCTTATGTACAAACTGGCTAACTTTGCTATAAAGGATGAGAGTTTGTTAGAAAACAAGGACTCTGAGGAGTGGTGGTGTATCAGAGAGGTTTATTATAGGGAAACTGATGGTAAGTGTTAATTTTTTTTCAATTGTACAACACAGCTATTCAAAATTGTGCTCTGCTGTGACCCTGGGTAGGTCTCGAAAAGCTAACCCAGGTACCTTACTTTTAGTCAGTACTAGTAGGGAGTTTGTATTGAAATTAATCATCTATACTACTATAAGGAAAGATTTGTATTTTTGTATGTATTGAAATAACTCAAAAATTACTTGCCTGATTTCAAAAATTCTATCACCAATAAAAAGCTATGTTATCAGTAAGTAGTATAGGCTAAAATTTTATAAATTTTTAGTTTGACACAAAGTCACAAGCACCAGCTTGTAATTAATAAAATACTATAGAGTTCAAAGGATGAATCCATCAAAATTTTAACATGAATGACTAAGTATTGATTTTAATTGTTTATATAGTTAAAATTTAACAATATAACTTTCAGATGTTGATGAGGATGAAACACAGCAATCCACCAAAGAAAAATACGAGGACTCTTTCAGACCTCCGAGTAGAATTAAGCCAGAATTTAACATATCAATTAAATCTGAGTTACTCAGCGGCCTGAAGAAAACTGAAGGTGAAGCGGGTACTTCACAAGGGGGCAGTGCAAACAGCTCTAGTAATATGTCTAAGAAATTTAATCTAAATTCCTCACAAAATAAAGAACCAATGACAAAACCTTTGAATCCAAAGACTGATTGTTGTTATGAAGAGGAACTGTATGTTAAAGGTTGTACTGCGGTTTGGTCTAAAGGTAAGAGAAGGATGACAAATATATTATTACAATAGAACCTTGATAACTCAAACCTTATTAACTTAAAAACTCTATATAACTTGAAAAAATAACATGATCCGTTTCCATCAGAGCCCAAAACCTCTACAACATAGACCCTTGATAACTTAAAACCAAATACAAATAATACAAATATTTTATTGGTAAGCAAACTACAAGTCATAATGTTAAAAAAATAAAAACTACAGATATTCTGAATAAAAATTGATAAAACCTCTATTACTTAAAATATTTTGTGTTTCCCTTAGACTTTAACTTATCGAGGTTCTACTGTACTAGATTTAAACAATTATATTAAATCCCCCACCTCCACGTACAGTCGCGGAAATCTCCGGTGTTTCTTATATAGAATACAGTCTTGTTTGTTTTGCTACAGCAAAAAATCACTTATTTATTTAAATAACCAATTAGGTAGCAATAAGTTGTGCAAATGAAGGGATAAAAAAAAACAAATTAGCCACTTGCCACTGACTACCCTTTCCACCCTTTTTTGACAGAAATATTTCGAAGCTGCATCCGTTTATTTATTTTATTGTTTCGCAATGTCACTTTTTGACCAACACCCAAAAGGGAGAGGTACTCATTTCATGTTTTTTTTTTTCAGGTTTAATATCAACTCCTGGCACTAAGTTATCTGGACCAGAACAGAGAGAAACCATAGCTTGTTACACTATAGAGAATCCAATCAAACATGCAGCATTTTGCAACTTTCATATCGGAATCAACAATACAATGCTACTTGATGCATTAAATTCTCAAATAGGTGATGTAAAGAAGAATATAAAAATAGAAGATACAACAGAACACATAGAAAGTAACATAATGCCATCAATCTTACTAATGGATAGTAAATGTATGAGAGTTTACGCTGTAGATGGTCGAGAGTACATGGCAAGTATACCATTCCAAGTAAAGAAAGTATGGCCTACGAAATATGGCGTCCTCTTAGAAAAGGAACCATTACCTCAACTACACAGTTCAATACTCCCTACATCATTTTTAAAACTCAACGAATCCTGCAACAGTTCTTTATATAAATCAAAAACACCTTTTAATATGAGTGCGAAATTACGAGCAGAATCTTTAGTAGGCTATGACCAGGAATATCCATTACCCACGTGTTTTTCACTTTCACATCCGTTAGACGAAGTCATACCCATATTAATCAAGTCACCATCCCAAGGGTTGCAATATTACAGCGATGGAGATGTCCAAATAATATTTGTAAGTGTCAACCCTAGTATAATTTTACTATACGATTGGAAATTAGGATATCATTCACTATGGAAGATTCGGAAAGCGACAAGAGATGAGTGTTTAAACATGTGTCCGAATGTCAACTCAACAACGACAGTGTTCAGTCAGTCTTGTGACTTCGTTGGCAGCCCTATGCAGAGTATGGCAAAGAATACAACCAGCTGGAATGCTGGAAGTCCATTCCAGTCGAAGAAAGGTATGAATACACCTAATCGGTCTCATCAGAACAGTCCTATGGCTCATATATTCCATCAGCAAGGGTTGTCACCTCATGCCTCTATTGGACAAGCATCCTCGACCTCTATGTTGGCAAACTCAATAACTCAAACACCGCCATCCTTACCTTTGTATCCTGATATATGTTTGGATCACATTTGGACTGACAGTCAAGTTATTCGGAGAGATCAAGTGGAAAGTCCAACAGATATTAAAACTTTTCTACATACAGATCTTGTCGGTCATGATTATCTTTGTTTTCTTGTCAAAGTTGGAGGTGCAAATAAGTTACAAATATTAAGATTGCAGCGATCACATTCTCACGGGCAGCTTTTGAAGAGCAACTTGATTGTGGGTTCGGTGTCCTCAGTGTACGCTAAAGATGCTGTAGTACTAAATGATTTGAAGATGATTGCGTTAATTGATGAATCAGGCAACATTATACTGCAGTCCGGGAACAGTGTTGTTGGAAAGGTATGGTTTTTTTCTTTATTACAAATTTTAATACTCTAACAGCCAAACACTAAAACGACATTAAAACATGTAACAGCATTTTAGAATTTCATGGCTATCATATTGTAAGCGGCGTTTACGAAAGGAAGATAAAATTCGTTACACTATTTGGGCGCAAGTATTTAAATAGTTTTAGAGTTGGTATGAGAAATGTGCACTGAGGGTATCCCTTAGTGACTTAAACAACTCGGGATGTGTCAGTAAGTGATGTGTAGGTGCACGTGGGCGGCGTGCTGGCGCGCCTACTGGACTCGCCGTACACGAAGCGCGCGGCGCACCCGCTGGCGCTGCACTCGCTGCACTCGCCC